AGAAAAGTCCAGCCAAATAACTGAGCAACTGATTCAATAGCGATATTCCAAAGAGGGCCATGGAGCGGGACAAACACCTAGGGGAATATCCATCCACGGTCAATGTGGAACACAGAACACAGCACAGCGCCGGCCGTGAAAAGAACAACACCGCGATTACACCGGCGGACTCCAAACCCTTTGTCTGGAAACCGGAAGGTCCCACACCACACGATCCTCTCTGGAGTAACAGACTGACACACCATTTTGATAACGAGAAAAAGGATGCAAGGTGACTGTCTAACAGAGAGCAAATATTAGCCTGTCTCACTCCCACCCCACCCCCGTCGCGTACCACCAAAAGGCTGAATCCACGACGCAATACGAAAAAACAAGCGTTAGCATTTCATTTTTCGGCCATTTTTACGCTACGGAGGGGTAGAGGGTGGGGAGGCAGGAATTGTTCCCGATGTCCGGCAAAACAGCACGCGCGTGTAGGCGGGGAGCGCAGGAATGAGGGGGCGCCATGAAGCGATGGGCGAGGAGGGCGAGGGGGCCGCGACACCCAGAAACGTTACTCCAGCGAGGCTTTCCACAGCCTGCGAAATCCTCCATCTTGGGGGCGCATTACTCGAGATTCAAAAAGCACCAGCCTTACTTGCCGCTGGCGCTCTCTTAAGACTTCGGTATCTTTCCTCGTCTCCCCCAAACGCCAGGCTCCCAGTGGGTACTCGGTCCCTCAGGCCTCGAGCGCTCCTCCCTCCCCCTCAGCGACTCGGCCCGCGTGTAACGGGCTCGTCGTCCCGCCCCCGCCCACAGCAAGCCCAGGACGCTGGCAGCTCCTGGAGGAGCAGACTCCGGCACCCTCCAGCCTTCGACTCTCCCGCCGCACCCAGGAGGCCTCTGATGGCCGGCCTGCCTGCCTCCCTCCCTCCGGGCCCGCTCACCTCCGCCGCCCGAGGAGGCTGCCTGCGCCGCCACCGCGCTCCTAACATGGCGGCCGCCGATCAGGCGGCTCAGATACGCAGCGCGGAGGGAGGCAGAGCAGGCGAGCGGGAGCGAGCGAGCGAGCGAGGCGCGCCGCCGGCTCTCCGCGGCCCCCGTCGCCGTCGCTGCCCCCTCCCGGCGGCCGCCGAGAGCCCCCGGCCACCCCACCCCGACTCTTACCCTCTTCACGCCTACCTCAGGCAAAGGGAGAGGGAAAAGGAGAGCTACCTCTCTCCAAGTCAGCGGGACGCGGAGCCTCCCACAATCCCCCGCAGCAACGGCGTTGGCAGGAAAAAAAGTGGCTGCAGCCTCAGAACGAACCCACTCTCGCGAGAGAGCGCGCTCCCACCCACTCCGGTCTCGGTTCGGCGCGCGTCCGGCCCCGCCCCCCCACCGGCGCGCGCTCGGCCGCGGCGTTGTCGCCCGGTCCTGGAGCCGGGGCCTTCCTCCTTCTAGTGGCGGGAAATGGCAGGGCGAGCCAGAGCTGGAGGGCTCGAGACCCTTAGCCGAAAACGTGCCTTTAAAAAAACAAAACCCGCAAAACCCTTACTTCTGCTGTAGAAGCGATTCTCAAGTGTCAAGCTCTATCCTCTGGTCATCCTAATTATTTTCCAGGAAACGATGCCATTCGAACTAATCTCAGGAATTCGGCGTCTCTCCAAAGACCGTTGCCGCCATTCGTTGAATCTCACTGAAGGTATTTTCCCTTGGGGTTCGCATAGTTCCAAATCACTAGGGGGGCAATCTAGATTCCCTTTTCCAGTTGATAAAGGCGACCTAGTTTGGCTTATGGAACCACCTTCACAGAATTGCAGGAAAAATTTTTTACCACAACTATTGATAATAATTATGATGCTTAGCAGGAGTCTAGAGCCAGGAATAACAAGTAAACCCAAGAGTTGGCTACTATTTTCCCATTTGGTAAGAAAATTGCCACAATAAGCTTAAGTTAATTGGGGTGGGAATTTGTGCAGACTAAGACAAAGCATCTACTATCAAACTGTCTTGGTTGGAGTTGCATTTCTGCTCTGCATTCCAGCTCCCTGCTAATGTACAGCCTGTGAGGAAGCAGATGATGGCTTGAGGGCTTGGGTTCCTGCCACCCACATTGGAGACCTAGCTTGAGTTCTGAGCTCCAGGTTTCATCCTTTCCCAAGTGCTATGGGAATTTGGACAATGTAGCAGGCATTGGGAAATCAAAGCTACATAATTCATCAGAGAGAAAGCTAGTCAAGTGCAGTCTAGGCTACATAAATTAACGTCCCACATCAGGGGCTTTTTGTTTTACCTACAAAATGTGTGGCAAGCCCCCAATTCAATTTCACTTTACCCCAAACGAATTTGGCAATTAAAAAAATTGGGAGGACTTATTTTGCCAGCATGTTATGTCTCAGGGAAACTGATAAGCTAGACAAAAGTAGTCTTTGTTCTCAAGGAATTTACATTATGTAAAGACAGTAAACCAGTAACAATTAGTATCACAGTATGAAGGACAAACTGGCTATTAACTAGATGAAGAGAATGAAGCTATCTAAGGGCAGGGGCACAGCCCTCTTTCACAGGTAGACTTTGGGAAACTGCATAAAGCCAGAAAGCTAGGAAAAGACAATTTCTGGGGACCACAAATTCAAATCTCCTGAAACCTGACATCAACTTCTGAATGCATGTGCTGCTTAACAGCATTGAAAAGACAATTTCAGGGCAAATGTTGTAGCAGAAAAAGTTACTGCCAGCATTCCACATGGGTGGTGGTTCTGGTTCAGGTTCCTAAGATCTAATTCAGCTGCTTCCTGGCACAACTGGGTAAAGAGGCAGCTGACTCCTGTGCTTGGGCCCCTGCCACCCAGAGATCCATGAGGATCCTGGCTGACTTGGCTAAATCCTGATTATTGGAACCATTTGGAGAGTGAACCAACAACCTAAGCTGTCTCTGTAATTCTTCCACATAAATTTTTAACAATAGCCATTGTGAAGAGCAGAACTGCAACCTGATAACATATATCCATTTGATTTCCTATAAGCTGGGGCTCTCTTGAAGAGCACACATGAGCTCATAGTAGTGCAAGCTTTGGAATGATAAAATTTGCTATCTTGTATCTTCCCATTAGAAAGCTAGTCGGAGTCCAACCCAATTCTATTATTCTCGAGTTATATTTGAAAGGCTGAGTTACACAGAACACAGATGGTTCACTCTTTTCCAAGCACATTAGCAGGGAACTGGATAGTATCTGGATCAGCTTGGAAACAAAAGGGAGCCCAAATGGAATGCCAACAGTACAGGTGGTGGCTATGCCACAATACCAGCTAGATGTACTCACTCCTTAGACGAAATGGGTTCTAGCCCTCTGGGAGACAGAAACCTCAGTCCAGACACAGAAACATGAATGTCTGAAAATGGCTCTAATGCATCTGGTGGCTGTGCAGTCAAGAAATATTAAAACTTCTCTAATTCAGGATTTAAGATCTGTTTAGCAATGCTGTCCCACGGGACAAGCTCACATTGAGTAAAAAAGCCAACTTCACAGCAGCAAATAATGCCTGAATGGCTTGGAGTTCTGAGGGTGGTCCAGTGTCCATGCAAAGGAAGGTGGAACTGCATGCAGGTGGTTTTAGAGACATCCGCCAGGCCCTGTCAAACAGCGGGAAGTTCCTTGTGGCCCTACCTGCAATGGAACAATACTGTTCACGCCTTCGTGTCCCCCACATCCACTGCAGACCTCAACAATCTGCCTTCCTTCTCTTTGTAAATGTCTCTCCTAGTGGCACTTTGGTCCTCTAATGCTAAAACAGTCAACTGGCATTTGAGACTATGTGCCAAACACTTGCTGTGTGAATAAAGCTCAGAAATTCCCAATGACCACAAATAGAGCTGAAAATGCATTACTCACAGTCTTTGGGCAAATATACCATTACCCTAGCACTGAAAGACTAAACCTCACTAGTCTTAACAGAAAAAAGTTGAATATCCTGTTACTTTGTCTCAAGCAGAGTTCTGGAACAGATTTGATGCCTTTCTTAAGGTCTATTTAAAGACAGAACATTGTTCTAAGCTCTTTTTGCCATCCCAGCCACAGCTGTTGTGGTTATCTGGGGACTGAAAAGAGCAGAGAAAAAAGATCTGTCATCCCCAAGCTTTCCAGGGTCAGATGGGTAACATCTGCCTGGCAGGTGATGACAGCAATTAATATGGAATGCAGAGGCAGGGTCACATGGTAGGCAGAGGCTTCATTAATGTGGCTAAATCAACCTGTCCAAATAACTTCCCTAAGGCCCAGCTGTAGACAACAAGCTGGGGCTCTAACATATATGCAAGTGGGGGAGTCACACGTTGTTGAAAACTATAGCTTGCTTTCTTTTTTAATTTTTAAAAATTGTTTTGTTTGAAAATCTTTACGTACTGATTACTTGCTTTCTTTTTGACCTTTGAGAAGCTCAGCTGCGTAGGTGAGAATTCTTAGCCGGATGAAAATAAAATGCTACAAATCTACAGGTGCCTGTTGTAAGAATACAAAGTATTGGCCTGGCACAGTAGGCTAGTGGCTAAAGTCCTTACCTTGCACGTGCTGGGATCCCATAAGGGTGCCAGTTATGTACCAGCTATTCCACTTTTCATCCAGCTCCCTGCTTGTGGCCTGGGAAAGCAGGGAAGGATGGCCTAAAGCCTTGGAACCTTGCAGCCTCATGGGAGACCCCAAAGAAGCTTCTGGCTTTGGATCGACACAACTCTGCAGTGAATCATTGGACAGAAGGTCTTTCTCTCTGTATATCTGACTTCCCAATAAAAATAAATCTCAAAAAAAAAAAAAAAAACCCACATAAGTTTATTCCCAAAAGGAAGTGGATGAGAAACTGAGCAATCAGGATTTAAGGGACAATGATTCTCCATGAGCTTTAGTGATAGGCCACAATGCCCACCCCCTGGTATTGCTTAGGATATTTTTCTCTACAGTCCTATCAGACTACCGATTTTGTTTTCAACTTAGATGACAAATACATTATACAAACAGACAAAAAAAAAAACCCCACACATTTTCTTCATTTATTTCCCAGATTTAATTTTTTACATACAGATCTTGATTTATACAATTGTTTTCCTGGAAATCTCAAATAAATGCTGTACTGTCAGAATTGCTGCAAATTTAGCTATTTTCATTATGAGCCCCTCTGCTACTTCCTGTGGCACATCATCTAGGAGGTGTATTGGAAGCGGAGCAGGTGAAACCCCTGCATCACAGCCCTGCATTTAATAGGGCCTAGGGGCCAAATCCTCACCTTGCATGCACCGGGATCCCATATGGGCACTTCACATCCAGTTCTCTCCTTGTGGCCTGGGAAAGCAGAACATGTCCCAGGGCTTGGGGTCTCGCACTTGCATGGGAGACCCCAAAGAAGCTCCTGGCTTTGGATGGGCTCAGTTCTGGTGGTTGCAGCCATTTTGGGGAGTGAACCTACCAATGGAAATCCATCTCTCCCTCTTTGTAAATTTGCCTATCCAAGAAAAATATCTAAGAAGAAATTTAGGAAGATGCAACAGCCAAGAACCTGAAACAAGACTGTATGATATACATGAAAGGATACTTTGTAAAACAAAGGAAATCAATTAAGACATCAATGTTGTTGAGATACTAGTTATCAGGGAAGACTGGGCATAAGGAACCATGGTATCTGTGCATTTATGAAATAAGAATGGACACAGATCCCAATATCCAATACTGTAGTGCGTAGGTTCATGGCCCTGTTGTGTCTCAGATTAACAAGCAACCTAGGAGGCAGTGAATGATGGTTCAAATACTCGATGATCCAATTCCAGGTGTACTACAACCACTTAGGCATGAAACAGGGGTTTACGTTCTTCTGTCTCTGCTTCTACATTTCAAATAAAAATAACCTCTACTGATGCTCATTCCATATAACATTTCCTAAGGAGCTATAAGTCATCCTTAATTAGATTATTGCACCCAAAGGCCAAAGATGAGACAGGAATTCCCACGTCATGCCTCAGGTTAAATTGACAAACATGACACTGTAAGCCATTTTGCTGAACGTGCTCTTAAATATAGGATTAAAGAAAAATGCTGCTAAAAAGAAATGCTTTTGACATATTGTAGTTAATTTAGTGAAACTTTTCCAGGAGTATGCTTAAAAGTCCATTTAATGTAGCTGTTCATAAAGCTCTAATTAAGCATCAAGATTCCAAGGAGGCATTTTCCCTGCTCTTTATGTTCAATTAGCTGCTCTGAGCAAGCTGTTTTCCTTGTGTGATCTCCTAGGTGTTTACCACCTTTGGGTGTTCCTTTGGGGCCTGTGGATTTTTTCCCTCAGGGTTTTATTTTCTTAATTGAAATCAGACATAATTCAAAATGTCAAAGGTAAAAAACATTTAAAAAGCACCTTTCCTTTTAATCTCCAAAAAAAGTGAAATGAAATGCGAATAGGAGCAAGGGATAGCATTTTAACTGTGGTTCCCTACTTACCTTATAGTTTCCTCTTAATATGGTTCAGGACTGGAACCTGAAACTTGGCTGAAGCAATTAAGAGTGGTAGTTTTGGTTATTAACTGCCACTTAAGGCAGCTTAGGCCCTTAAATATTTACACCAGCTGTCTTGGCCATCCAATTCCAGTTCCCCTGCAGTATAGTGAAAGGGTAATAGGAAAAAAAAGTTATTTTGCAATGTTCTATTTAATCTCACCAGGAAATAAATTTTCTTACAAAATTAACATCACTTAGTAAGATAACCTGTATCCTCAGAGGTACTAGACTCCAGATTGAAAACCCCATAGATTATGTATGACTTGCCAACATTCCCCCTATGCTTAGCAAACACTCCTATACCTCCCTACCTGGTTCTGAGGTTGCAAGCTAAGGATCCCTTAAAGCACAGTAACAGTGAAGAGCCATCGAGAAAGCCCAAGCCAAAAGGGTCTATATTACTGAATGACTTACTACAATCATCATAGTTCTCTAAAACAGGAGTGGAATGATATAAGGCAAATACCCTGACAGCATATAGAATTTTTCAGATATGTTAATCTTAAATGTGTAGATCTCAAGGCCTGAATTTCTAGAATGGGTCTCAGTAAGACCCTACAGGCCAATTCCAGCCTGTTTAACTTGAAGTTTTTGCACGGGCTGTTCAGCATACTGATGAGCTGGCCATTGCACAAAATGAGGACTGGTCTTTAGATTCTTCACCGTTTTCTCTAAATCTAATTGGGATTTTTAGGACAATGTATATTACTTACTCTGATGTCACCACGGACTGTCAACTGAGGTGGTAGTAGGTACTGGTTTCTCATTCAGGAGATGGCATCTAGATTCAACAAGGTAAGGAATGACAAGCTGCCCTGTACCTGGACAGGACCCCATTTTAACAGAAACCAACTGTTTGCACCCAGACTAGGACTAACTCCACAGGAGGAGTCATTCCACTCTCAGAGGTGCAAAACACTGCTCAGAGTTCTTGACCCCAGCACCAAAACGGTGCAGGGCGCCAAACCTCAGTGGAGCCAGTGCTTGCTCTTCCAGCAGTGTAACACCATCCCAGGCATCACACAAGCCTGGATAGCTGACAACCACTGGATTATCCAGAAACAGCTTTCTCACCCGCCCCCACCGATTCAGATACCTCAGGTGTAGAATGCGCGCGCACACACAGGTATCAATCAGTAACAGATACACGCCGATTGTAAATCAGAAAGGGAAGCAATGATTGTTTTAGGAAGCAATAGACGGTATCTCATTCCCATGCTTTCACAGGGATGCAAGTCCCTCAATGTTTTGGTTAACATAATCTTGCTGCAATTCCTCAGGTGGAAGCGTAACTAGTCATGCCTTCATACATACCATCAAAATCCCACCCAACTACTGCCCAGAGGCTACAGTAGTTGCAGTTTCAAGCACAGGTGAGCTTTGCTGATGGTAGTTAACAACTAGCAAGCCTGGCACAGTTAGTAGTCCATTGGGGAACAAACAGGGACACTTACCAGTTAACTCCACATGCAGACTGTTCACCAGCCACTATTTTCTCTTTCAGAGGATGGAGCATTCTCTTCCTTTAAACTATCCTAGAAATGAATAGCAGCCAATGAGCTTCAGTTATCAAAACAGAGGGAATCAAAAAGTTAATAGCAATGCATTTAATATTTCTAAACTCGTACAAAATACAAGTGTTTCACCAAGTTCTGGTAATGTATGTGCTGTGAATTTAATCAGTATGATTCAGCAGTGCAGGGGCAAATACCAGGCACCTGCTACCCACATGGGAATCTCAGATGGAGTTTCTAATTTCCAACTTTGGCCTGGCTATTGAAAATCTGTTGCTTTGTCCTAATAAATCCTAAAGCAGACAAACATGGTCACTGCCTATGGATTGCAGGGTTCAGACAAAGCAGTTCCTCGGGTCTCAATCTAGAGACAGAAACAAAATGCTGTCACCATAGTTGCTACATCTTCAGGATATATTTTGTTTTCTTTCTCCTGGCGGTGAATACCAAAAAAGATAACCACTCTCCAAGCTCCATGCTAAAAGTATTCACAACTAGCATCTGCACTCAACTTTCAGTTGAATCTAAGAAAAAGCCCCGTGGTGGAACAAAAGTAGCTTTCATAACCAATTCCTTTCCTGAACACTCACAGTACTTCCTCCTGTGAAATCATCAAGTTGTCTCAAGTCTTCTGCTTAAAACTGCAAGAGGCATCTCTCCTTGGATAGTCAGCATTCAAAAACAGTCACTACGAAGGTCTCAGAACTTGCCGACTGAGGCAAAAATGGCTAGGATCAGAGTTAGTCCTGGTATCCAAGGTCTAACCAACATGCTTAATTTATCATAGACGTCTAGATTTCTATTCTAACCGAAGTCAAGCTCTTAATGTTAAAGAATAGCTAGCCATAATGGAAAACTGGTATAGATGGTATGAACCAGGCCTAGAATGCCAGTTGGATATTGGTTGCTTGTCTTAGTTTAACACTTGCCTAGTAAACCTGGCAAACCTGGGTGGCGAGCAGCCTAGGTCCAGGGCCAAAGCTGTTGCACTCAACTGGACTGTGTCGCTGTGCCCCTCCAAAAACTCATCCTTCTTTGAGTCCTGAGCCACGGAACCACAGCAGATACCATACACCTCATGCTGGGTTAGCTGGATTTTCACTTTGTTGCTACTCATCACTGTGTCTAAACCACACTGGGCTAGTAACCTACCCTCTCTACTTCATGTCTGTTGTCTCACTTCCCACACTTCTCCGGGGGAGCCTAGGCTGGCCTTACCACGTGGAAGCCGAGCCTATTACATACTTGGCAGGCAGCTCCCTGTGCTGCCCCGGAGGAATTAGCTGGCGCTCCCATTTGGATTTCATAACCCCCAGTACGGCTTAACTTGCTTTACAGTAAAGCTGGCTCTTGAAGGTGTTCGTAATAGTACTTTTCCATAGTGTGGTTCATAGGCTTGCCACAGGGCAGCATCTGGGACAGAAAGGAAATTCAGGAAAAAAATGACCAAAGAGTAGAGAAAAACTTAACCTGAGAGAGCAAGGGGTAGTGAAAGTTGGACGTTACAAATGGGACCTCTTCCGGAACAAAACCAATCCTTAAGAAACGAGTGCAGTAGCAGTGTAAGGGAATTTGGAAGCAATCAAGCTGCTGCTGCTGGGAACCTCAACTACTGATTCAAAGCAATAATCAATTTGTTCGCAAGAATGCAGACAAAATTCCTGCAGTTTGCCTTATTCAGATCCTCTGAATCCAGGTATTTTCTAACCATCCTCAAATTTGCTCCTAATCCCACCCAAAGTGTCAGGAAAACCAAGGAAACCGTCTCATTCGGGTTTAAAAATCATTCTCAATATTGCCTGCCCCTTTCAGAGAATCGCCTTGACCGGATTTGTCCAGTTCCGCCCGCACACGTGCTCCTCACAAGTGCGGGACCCTGCGCCTGGAGGGCGAGATCCTCTTGGGATCCGGTTCTAGGAAGCTTCCTGGGGGTAGAAACCCGAGCCACGATTTCCCGCCGCCTGCTCCACATCCCTCCAGACCGAGGCCAAGAAGCCCAGTCGGGTCCCAGACCCTGGCAGAAACCTCCCGACACCGCTTCTCGCCCGAGGACTCCTCACCACCACGTGTCCGGAGCTCCGCGAGAAGAACCTTCGCCGCCCGAGTTCGCAAACGGAAAGGCCGGTCCGCAGCCGACGGAACTCCGCCCCGGGGCGGGCGCTGGGCGGGGCTTAGGGCGGGACCGTTGAGCCCCGCCCCGGAAAGGCCGGGCTAGAGGACGGCGAGCGAGAAGGGGTGAGGCGAGCGTAGGCGTTGTGGGATTTGTTCTGAGGAGAGAAAGGGTGGATCTCGGAACTGAGGCCGCATCTGCTTGGATTGCCGCTTTAGGTTTTATAGACTAGGAGCGCTGGGTATCGAAACGTACGGAGCCAATCTCGCGTGTCGGAGCTGGGCCAGGCCTCCCCCCGGCCCGCACCAGCGTCTCCTCCGACAAGGGGCGCCATTCTCTCACTGTAGGCCCTGCGGTTTTGCGCTAGTCGCGCGGGAGCAGCTTTCGCTGGCTTTCTGCAGCAGCGTGGTCACGCGGTTAGCTTGATTGGAGTCTTCCGTCGCCCTGGAAGATTTTCGAGTGGATTAGGCTAGTCATTGCTGGCCTTCGTCTCCAGAGCTCTGCCTATTATCCCTAGCTGAGCTGTTGGAGAGACCCAAGTACCAGAATGCCGAGATTAACACTAAAATTCTGCCTTGCGGAATAGATAGTAGAAGCTGGGGTCCAGTCATTTATAAATCCATTGTGTAATTCCCCGGATCCTTCCCCCGACATCTTTGGACTCTTTTCATCTATTGCACCTGGTGCCATTTATTTGCTAGTGGGCCCCTGGGAATCTGCTCTTGGCATCTGCCAACAGGGTTTATTATCTGTCTCTTTAGCCGTTTGATAACGGAGGGGAATGAAGTGCTTTCTGTGCTAGCCCTGACCCTCGCAGTCCTGTCTTCAGAATCCCTAATGGACTTACAGGGGATAACCCTACAAGGCTATAGAGCCACAGGGTCAGCCGAGGAGAAAACAGCACGGGTCCTCCCCAGTTTGGATGGAGCTGGACTCAGATTCCGGTTGAGAAAAGGCTTTCATAAAAACAGTAATTTAAACGGTCCTGTGATCAAGCCGGGCCGGGCTGGGGGCCACCACTCTGCTTTGCGGATAAGCAGGGTTTATCTTTTTGATTAACAGCAGACTGCCGCCACAATCAATGCCCCATCTGGCTGTCACCGTGTGTACCTACAGGAGGGTTCTGAGAGCCATCAAACCGAGCACAGGAGAAATTGCAGTAGTACCTCATGTATTCTGTCTTTTTTCCTTCCAAACTGGAGAAGACAGAGTTACCCTGAGGACTCAAGAGGAGGGCAGATGAGGGGTGTGCCTGTGCAATGTGGGGGGTGGGGGGCGGAATAATTGAGTGGCGGGAGGTAGGAGGGCCAGAGGCTGTGGGGAGGAGCCAGTAACCTGAGGACCACTGAATCCACAGGTCAGGCCAGGTGGCGGGCAGGACCTGTGTGGAAGCAAGGCCAGCCATTAGGATTAAGGAGGAACTCAGTTCTGTCAAAAATCTAGCTACCTGTTTTAGCTATAGGCCTAATGATTTCTTCTTTTCCTATTGGAAAACATTAAATCTTACAAACTTCTTGACCTCTAACCTTTTAACTTTTTAATTCATTTTGAGGGTGGATATTTGACCTAGCAGTTAACACCTGCTTGGGGCACCACACTCTGCATCAGAGTGCCCGATTTGTGTCTGCTTATCTACTTGCAATTCTGCTCCCTGCTCACGTGCACCCTGGGAGGTAAGACACAGTGATTCAAACACCTTCGGTCCCTGCCACCCACGTGGGACACCCAGATTGTACCCTGGACCTGGTTTGGTCCTAACTCAGCCCTGTCTTTTGCAGGGATTTAAGGAAGTGAATCAGCTGATGGAAAGTTTTAATCTCCCTCTCTCCCTTTCAAATAAAGTGAATGAAAGAAAAAAAAAAACCTTTTTATTTTAAGATTTATTTATTTTAATCATAAAGAAAGAAAGAAAGATCTTCCATCCACTGGTTCACTCCCCAAATGACCACATGACTGGAACTGAGCTGATCTGAATCCAGGGATTTCTTCTGCATCTCCCACACAGATACAGGATCCCAAGGACCTGAGCCAACCTATGCTGCTTTTCCAGGGCATTTACAGAGAGCTGAATGGGAAATACAATAGCTGGGACATGAACCAGCACCTACATGGGGTCCCAGTACTTGCAGGCAGAGAGTTGGCCTGAAGAGCCATTTCACTAGTCCTCTGAAAATTAATCTTTGTATATTGATTTTTTATAAGATTTTTATTTTTAAAGATTTTTAAAAATTGGTAAGTCAGATATGCAGAGAGGAGGAGAGACAGAGACGAAGATCTTCCATCCGCTGATTCACTCGCCAAGTGACCACAATGGCCAGAGCTGTGCCAATACAAAGCCAGGAGTCAGGAGCCTCCTCTGGGTCTCCCACATAAGTGCAGGGCCCAAGGCTTGAACCATATTCCATGGCTCTCTAAGATTCATTAGCACAGGGAGGTTGATTGGGAGTGGAGCAGCTGAGAGGAACTGATGTCCGTATGGGATACTGTAGCACAATTTGTATGGTTTCTAATGTGTAATATTAATTAGTTTTTCTACTTTTTGTTTCTAATTCTTACAAAGGCAACATTGTTAGAAATGATAACAGAAATTAAAAGCATTTCTGGGGACAGGGGAGAAGAATGCAGCCTGGCAGAAGGTAAAGGATTAGGGCAGTCTGTTAGCTCTGAGTTTGACCTCATCACTAAAAATTTAGGCCCCCAGTAACACCAGGTCCCCAAGCTGCATTTTTCCTTCTCCTCCTTCTATCCCTTCCTTCTGGCCTACCTGCTTTGTGCCTTTTCCGCTGCATTTTATTTCTTCCTGAGTAAGAGCCACCAGTAGAGAAATGTAATCAGCAGTGCAAGCAGTCAACTAATCAGTCAATCAACATTTACTGAGCATCTATCATGTGCTGCACTGTTCAGGTGCTGCAGATAAAATCAGAGCAATAGACAGGCCTGTCTGCCTAAAGCTGACATCTAGTGGGAAAGAATGACAAATACTCCATCCTTGTACATGAGGCAGGAGGTAGCAAGCCTACCCTGGAGATTCAGGCTGTGATTCTCCAAGGCTGACCCCAAAGGCTTCTGGTATGGGGGAGATTGCTGCTCCTCCACACCTTGGTCCTCTGGCTGCTGTGTCATAGCTACCCATGGGTTACATAAGGCTCTGCAATTGTCCTTATTTCTCAAAAGCACAGCTGGATTGGCAAGGACATGGAGAAACTGGAACCCTCATATTCTGCTTAAGAGAATATAAAATGCTACAGATGCTTTGGAAGACAGTCTGGTAGCTTCTCAAGTGATAAAACCTATAACTCTTTTTTTTTTTTTTTTAAAGATTATTTGGAGCCCTGAGTGGTGGCCTAGTGGCTAAAGTCCTTGCCTTGCATGCACTGGGATCCCATATGGGCACCGGTTCTAATCCCAGCAGTCCTGCTTCTCATCCAGCTCCCTGCCTGTGGCCTGGGAAAGCAGTTGAGGACGGCCCAAAGCTTTGGGACCCTGCACCCACGTGGGAGACCTGGAAGAAGCTTCTGGCTCCTGGCTTCAGATTGGCACAACTCAGGCTGTTGCGCTCACTTGGGGAGCGAATCATCGGATCAGAAGATCTTCGTCTCTGTCTCTCCTCCTCTCTGTATATCTGACTTTCCAAAACAACAACAACACCCAATATTTATTTGAGGTTTAATTTGAAGTGGAGATTTATAGAAAGAAGGATCTCTGTCCGAATGGCCACAGTGGCTGGAGCTGAGCTGATGTGAAAAACCAGGAGCCAGGAGCTTCTCCTATGTCTTGCACGTGGTTGCAGGGGCTCAGGGACCTGGGCCATTCTCTGCCCTTTTCCAGGCCAAAAGCAGAAAGATGGATGGGAACTGGAACAGCCAAAACACAAAATGGCTCCCGAGTGGGATTCCAATGTTTTTAGGTAGAGGATTAGCATATTGAGCCATGGTGCCAGCCTTGCAACCTAGAGTTATTTTTATATACCAAATCCAGTCCTAGCTATACACCCACAAGAAATGAAAATACGTCCACACAAAAATTTATACATGAGTTTTTAGAGTAGTGTGATTCAGAACAACCAAAAGGTTTTAAAAATAATTGAATAATTAATGTTTTACTAATTAATGTTTATACAAAATGTGCAAACTGTGGAATATTTATGTAATGGAATATTTTTTTTAAAGATTTATTTATTTATTGGAAAGTCAGATATACAGAGAGGAAGAGAGACAGAGACGAAGATCTTCCGATCCGATGATTCACTCCCAAAGTGACTGCAACGGCCTCCGAAGCCAGGATCCAGGAACTTCTTCCGGGTATCCCACACGGGTACAGGGTCCCAAAGCCTTGAGCCGTCTTCGACTGCCTTCCCAGGCCACAAGCAGGGAGCTGGAAGGGAAGCGGAGCCACGGGGATCAGAACCGGTGCCATATGGGATCCTGGGGCGTTCAAGGCGAGGATTTTAGCCACTAGGCCACGCTGCCGGGCCCTATGTAATGGAATATTATTAGGTCACAAAAAGGAAGGAAGTACTGATTCATGCTACAATGTGGACGAATCTTGCAAATGTTAACTTCAAACAGCCAGCCACTAAGGATGGTTCTTTTGTTCCAAGATTGGGATGTGGTTTGCCCCCAAAGGTCCAGGTTTGGCCTGCAGGGTATCAGTATTTAGGTAGTGACATCTTTAAGAGATAGAGCCTAATTGGAGATGACTGGTCCAGTGGGGTCTTACCCTCGGAAGGAATTAATGCAGGTGCAAGTGCTGTGGTGCAGTGGGCTAGGCCACTATTTGGGAAGATGATATCTCTCATCCCAATGCAACTTTTTTTTTTTAATTTTATTGGAAAGTCAGATTTACAGAATGAAGGAGAGACAGAGCAAAAGATCTTCCATCTGCTGATTCACTCCCCAAGTGGTTGCAATGGCCAGAGCTGAGCCAATC